TTTTACATAATTCTAGGAAGGTTTTATCAGTTTACATGACCACCAGTGGGCGTGAATGTTTCCAATTCCCTCTGACCTTAGGAAATGGGTCCTCACACCCTCTTTTGATAGTGGTGGTGGTTAGTGGTAGTGATTTTACCTTACTTTTAATTTTTGAAGAAATTTTCTGGTGCTCACTGTTAGCATCTCATACATACCAAAGGAACCGAGGACTAAGCCCTTACTCAACCAGAGAGAGGACAAGAGAACATGTCTGTTGGGCCATCTGTGTACATCTCCTAAAAACAGGGTCCTCAGCCAGAGTTCAGTTCAACTCTGAATACAGCTGTGTCTTCAATCACTGCAAACCAGGATCTAGCCCACTGTCTGGCCATGAGACCTGCCTTGCTGAGTGAATGAAGAGATATTTGTTTATTATATTTATAGCTTCCCAAGATATAAGGAAAATAACTAGAAATAGGGCAGTTTCTGGAATTAGTAATGTTTATTACCAAAAAAGAAAAAAACAATCACCTGGCGTGCCTTTTTTTCTAATAATTTGGTTTTTCCAAACCTGAGTTTTCCCTCACCATGTAAACAAAGGAAAGATATTTTACATTAACCGCATGAGGGAAAGAAAGAGCTTCCTGCATGATGCTAACATCTACTACAGAACACAAATCTAATGTAAAATGCATCAAACAAGGACAAAATCTCTGGAGAACAGATCCAGACAGCATGTTGGTGCCATGTAACTTAGAGCCTGTGCCAGCATCTCCATTATAAAAATCCTATCATCCAAAGCCATAGCAAGCCGAATAAGTAACTAATAATTAAGGTGTCCTTCTCTTAGTCTAGGAAAATAATTTCAAAATTAAATTGTACACATAGACATGAGGGAGCTATGCCATCGGTAACGTTAATCAGTTTGGAATTTACAAAGGACTCTACATCCCCAACCCACTTTTCTGACCTTATCTGAATTTCAGTACTTTTCATTGTGTACTATTGTTGTTTTAGGGAAAAAACTCTCTCCTAGGAGTCTTAGAATATACACATCAGTGTTAAAAAGATGCTGGAAATCATCTAGCTCGTACCCTCTAATTTTAAAAATAAAGACACTGTACCGCAGAGACGTTATAAATGGCACAACCCAAGACTACATAAATAATGACTTAATTCCATCTCCTCTGACATCCTATTATAGCTCTGTTTTTGTATTATTTATATACAACTGCCTTTTATTAGAAGAATATGAAAGCATGAACTATACTGGGCATTTGTCCTTAGGAAGCAGACCCTTATAGTGTCAACTTATGTTGGGTGAAATTTCATAGAAACACAAAGCTAGCTTTCTCCTAAATGTAGATGTCATTTAGATATTAGGAGACAACACAACTGAATTTTGGAGCTGAATGGATTTTAAGTATTTTCCAGTACAACTACTTTCACATATGAGGCAACTGAAGACCACAGAGGTTGTGACGTATAAGGCCACCCAATTAGAGGAGCAAGGCCAGTATTTTGCAACTCCTGGTTCAAGGGTCTTTCTACCTCATCAAGCTGGATTTTCTGTATTACAGTCAGGTGCAACACCTGATATTTTTAACTTATAAAAATCTTGGATGTTATAAAATATCAATTCATGACCCACTCAATGTCTAAGGCTGTGCACCATGGCCCTCCTATTTTTGCAGTCACCTTCCATAGTTTAAGGGTAACCTTTTCTCTCAAAGTCCAGGAGGTCCACTGATTTGAATAGGCAAGACAAAAATACAACAGCCCTGGCCCCTTATGGTAGAAGATGAATTAAGTCCTGAACAGCAAAATAATGCTGAGGACACAGGCATCCCTGTCACTAATGATCAGCTGAAACTTGCTCTTATTTGCTCCTTCCTTCTGCCTCTGGCCGCTTGTCGAATCTTTCTGGCCAGGCTGCACTGACTGAGGACTGCTGCCCCCAGCTCATCCATCTGAGGGTTAACATCCTCAAGCCAAAGCCTCCTGGAGTCCCATCCCTCGGTGATACAGTGTCAGCATCCTCCCCTGCTACTATCTGTGAGACTTCAATTAAGCCACATCCCTCTTTGAGCCTCAATTTGCTCATGAATAAAATGGCAGCATTTGCTCCAGTCCTACAATCATATGGTCTACGAGTGAAGGGAGAGTTATTTTCATAAAGGGGAAGGAGGGGGCGAACTCAAGTGGCCTCCCGATATACAGCATTTGAGTCCTGATCCTTCTTTCTCTGTCTTTTGCCAGCCAAGCCAGACAGCCTATGGGGGTGGAGTCACATTTTCAAGTGGGTGGGAGAACATCTGAGTGGAAAGCAATGCATGATCCCCAAAAACAACTGGAAGGGCCAGGGAGCGATGGGCAAAAGATAGAAAAAGCAGAGATTCTCAGGAACAAAGAAGGAATGACTCCCAGCCTCATATGGGATAAAACACTCTTAAGGCACAGGCTCAATCCTGGATTTTATGCTGCCAGGCCAAACGTTAGGAAGTCGCATACACGCTGGATGAAACGCTATAATTACTTTGCTGCTTCATTACACTGATTTGGGGCAGCTCTGTAACAAAGGTTTGCTGCAGCCCACCCAAAGGATGGAGTACACGGTGACCTATAAAAATCCCTCTGCGTGTCCCCCTGGAAGATTTGTCCAAATGATGGCCTCAGCCTGCACAGCACTGAGGCATATACATAACTCTGAAACTACCGCCTGGAGTTGAATTCATAAACCTTACTTCCGAGCTGTTACCAAGCTCAGCCAGCCATTGTCTACCTCCCCATTACTCAGAGCCCTCTATGGGGCACCCTTCACATTTGTGGTCACATCAATCTGTATATTTATTATGACACTTTTCTGGCAGGTGACAGGAGAGGTTTTGAAGAAAGAGCAGCAAAAGGACCACGTGAACTAGTGGTAGCACTGCCTGTTCCAAACCCATATTATGGTAATACAGAAGAACACTGAACTTAAGCTTATGTTATCTATGCTCATATGAAATAAAACAGATGTGGTAATGTCACCATAGCTCTAGTCAGGGTCCCTAGATCTTGCACTACTGTCATCAAGATGACAACCTTGGGGCTTCCCTGGTGGCGCAGTGGTTAAGAATCCACCTGCCAATGCAGGGGACATGGGTTCGAGCCCTGGTCCGGGAAGACCCCACATGCCACGGAGCAACTAAGCCCACGCGCCACAACTACTGAGCCTGCGCTCTAGAGCCTGCGAGCCACAACTACTGAACCCATGTGCCACAACTACTGAAGCCCGTGTGCCTAGAGCCCGTGTTCCACAACAAGAGAAGCCACCGCAATGAGAAGCCTGCGCACCGCAGCGAAGAGTAGCCCCTGCTCGCTGCAACTAGAGGAAGCCCGTGCACAGCAACGAAGACCCAACACAGCCAAAAATAAATAAATTAAATAAATAAATTTTAAAAATAAAGACGACAACCTTGATTTCAAATTTTTATTTATTTATTTTTGGCCGCAGGATCTTAGTTCCCTGACCAGGGATTGAACCTGGGCCCCAGCAGTGAAAGCGCCAAGTCCTAATCACTGGACTGCCAGGGAATTCCCAAGATGACAACTTTAAAAACGTAAAACTGCCAATAAAATGTGAGACCCCATAAGAACAAAAGTCCATGTTCCAGCAGTGTTCACCTACAGAAATTCTACTTTTTGTCTGAAAAATCTCTAGAATGCAATAACCTCCCTCCTAGGCCCACTGGGGGCTTGCAGAGAGCTCTGGAAAGCCTCAGAGTTGGCAATAACCTTAGCAAAAAGGGGGAGACTCAATCTAGAATCCAAAACACTGCTAAATGCAGAGTTCATACATATGACACAAATCTGGGGCATTTCAGAAGATACGATGAAGAACTAGATCACCAGTGAGGATAAGACATGAGTTCCCATTTGTGCTTCTTCTAAATAGGTCACACTGAGTGACTCCTTATAGTGACAAAATGTCAATGATTTCTCCTCAGTCTCAGAACTGGACTATATTTTTAGTGTTCTCTTTTTTAGTGAGCAACTCTATGGGTTACAAACACTGGTAAAATCTGTAGCCACCACCACGATCAAGATATAAAACAGTTTCATCACCCCCAAAATTCCCTTGTGCCCCTTTATAGTCAACCTCTAATCCTAGCCCCTAATAACCACTGATTATTTTTTTATAAAACCAGACTGTATTATAATATAAATTCCAACACTGTTTTAGACTTCCCCTTAAATATTTACCCTATTTCATTGATTTTAAGACATAACCTCCCCCCACACACCCCTAGATTAGAATATTTTGAAATTATTATGTGTCTTACAAACAATGGCATTTTACCATTATAATTGAGAATAATTTTTCTTTTTAGAGGTATATAAAATAATTGTGTCATAATTTATGGTGCCTTTAAAAAAATCAGTGAAGTATAATATTAAGTTTTTCATTTCATAACGTTCATTGGACACTTACTATGTGCTAAACATCCTATTAGGCACTAAAAGTACAAAAACGAACAAACGTGGACCATAAGGAACTATCACTCGAGAGGAGATAGAAAAACAATTATAATATAATGTGATAAGGTCTGTAACAGAGGGCTATCCGCTCAGTAGGACTGAATAAAATTATCTCTTCATTGGTAAACCTTCTTCTTTCAGACAAAACTCCCCCCCCAGTTCATACTGTTCCTCGTTCACAGGAAATGAGGAGGGAGGAAGTACCATTCAGCCCCACTCTGCTCATTCCTAGAATGAGTTTTGGCCACACCATCTGACACAGCTCCTAGGAACAATCCAGTGATTTCTTCCACAATTCGCTGCTGTGGTAGAGAAGGCTCATCTTAGTGTGCAACAGCTGCAAGGCTTTTATGACCATGTCAAAAGACCAAAAATAACCACTCAATCTGTGGGAGGCGGATGCCCCAAAGATTTCACAGACATGCTTCAAGGTCCCCAAATTCTTCCCTGGACAAATTTTAAAGCAGAAGGAAGAGAGGAAAAGTTAGTGTCCTTACCTGGTTCTTGAAAGTGTTCTTCATTTGATAGAGTTCTAGACAAGATAAGTATTAATGCTTCTTTAAATTGGTCAAAATGCACCTAAAAATAAACAATTCAAAAGAAATTCAAAATAGTTTCCACAGCCTTAAGGAAGCAAATCCATCTACAAGGTTCCAGAACCATTTGTTAGCATCTGACAGCCTTGAAGTGAGTCATATAACCTGTTTTTGTTCCCTTTTTTCTTCATTTCTCTAAAGCACTAAAGGGAAAATAGGCTGATCATTTTACACGCCAGTGTCACCAACACTAATATCAATATTTATTCAACCCTGAGGGGGAAAACTACACAGCAAAACCCTCTTTATAAACTCAGAAAAAGATAGGTTTTGAATTCTTAGCTCCTTTAATTTTTCTAAACAAGACCGGAAGAGAAAGATGTTAGGTCAGGTACTAGAAAAAACTTTCCAAGTAAATGATCCTCTGTAACAATGTCCCAAAGATGCTTTCATCTCTTAAGATATTCTAGAAGAGGGGAAACTACCTTTCGAAGATGACTTGAAATACAGTCTTGCTTGAGGCAGGAATATGTTATATATTTATCTCCCAAGGCCCCTGTAATTCTATAAACAAATAGAAATCAATAGCAAACACAAAGAATAAAAGAACCTTGGGAAGCATTCTCCCGAATTCTTAAAAATACAATTACCTTGACTGAAGTAGGAAAGAACCTGAGTTTCATTTAAGTGAATACTCAGAATTGGGATATTACTTTGGTTAAAGGGATAAAATATTTTTCTTTATGGTCAAGTACATTCTTCTATAACTTAAATTTACATGATCTCACCATGCGGCAGAAGGGAGAGATGGTATTTCTTGTCATCATAATTATAGTTTAATAACGTGGTGCCTATTTATACAGAACCCTGTATGTAAATACAATGTTGGTAAATTTATAACTTGTGCTGCTATGGGTCTCTTTAGACATCATTACAAAACGTTGCCTAGGAGATTAAATATAGTGACAGATAAAAACCACTTCTGAATTAAATGTGGAAAAGCAGCAAACCTTGTTAGTTATCTAAACAACGAAGGAAACCAATCATATGTCTTATTCATGCAAATCAGTGCAAAGGAGAGGAATCCACTGAGATTCATATGTCATAAAATAGCATATGCTTGCAATTTACCACTCTCTCCCAAAGAATTTGTGATTTCTCTACCACATTCATTTTGATTACTTGAAATTGCTTTCTAAAATCATATTCCTTTAGATCACACAGACTAAAAGTCAGCATATTTGTGCAGCCAGAGCAGAAGTCTGTTCAGGAAGGGAGGGCATCTGCTAAAGAGCCAGGGTGGTACAATCAATGAAGGACTAAAAGATTACAAGAATTATAAACTGTGCTAATTAGGTTTCATAGCTGACGAATCACGGAAAAGCCTGGGGGAGGAAGGAGAACTAGGTTCCGCCAGAGTCAGGGATGGGCTTCAGGCACCGTGGCATCCAGCTTCAGTTACCGGGGGGGGGGGGGGGGGGGGGGGGGGGAGGCCATCTTCCCAACCAGCCGGTCCACAAACAGCACCTACCCAAGCCTCTCCCACTCAGGGGCATCTCCCACCCTGGCATCTACTATTTCCTACCAGAATCAGGCTTTCCTCTTAGGGTGGGCAGGAGAAGGGTGAGGAGTGAAAGCTCTAAGCTGGGGCAGCTGGGTCTAGGTCCTGACTCTGGCTCAGCCACTGTGAATTGGCTCAATTACCAAACCTCTCCAAGTTTTAGTTTGTTCCACTTGAAAAATGGGTTATCTAACAACTCATCTTGATGATTCACTCAACAGATATTTATTGGGCCGCTGCTATGGGCCAGGCCCTATCCTAGGCCCCGGTGATAGAGCTGCCATGGAGCACATAGTCTCAGGAACTGTCCCAGGGAATCAGGCAGGTACTGCTAAGGGCACTGCATGTATTTTATGTTATTTATACTACCGCCTCCCTCATAGTGGCTTTAGGGAGATAAAATGAGAGTTATGTAAAGTGTCTAGAACTTCCTGGGACTTGCTAGGTAGCCAGCAAGTGGTAGTTAACACTACTAACAGGACTAGTAATGGGGGTGAACGTTCTCACCACTTTCACAGAGAAACAGGGCCATATTTCAAGCAAGGCAACTGGCCATGAGAGTGACCCAACCAGCCAAGTGGTAGGGCGGGGGTGACAGCAGAAGGCCCAGGAGCCTGCCTCCCCCCAGGACCTGTGCAGCTGGCCAGCATCAGAGAAATGGATCCGGTCTGCTGTGTTTAGGGACCCCAACTCCGAGATTCTCCTCTCCCTTAGGCTATCAGTGGACATGACCCGAATGAAACCAGAGTCCCTCACTGCCACAGTAATGAGTTGAACAGGAGGAGGCTCCTGGTTCAAAAGGGATGTGGTTGCCTTGAGACTTTCACATCCTTTATATCTGACTCTGTGGGTCTCTGCTGGGTCTCCTCAACGTGTCAGTTTTGATAGAGGTCATTGGAAAGAGCCCTTCGGAATTTAGTCCTAACATAGTTCAACTCGGCGAGGATTAGCCATGCAGGTAACTCAGGGGTTTCTGTATCTCAAGTTTACTTCCCCAACCTCCAAACATGACAAAGACGTCAATAACCTGGAAGTTAATTCTAACCAACTTCTAAGACTTTATTATACCAGATTCAAGGGACACTTAGGCCTCATACAAACACACCCAATTCTGAGACAGTATGTACCTCACTGACATAGAGGTTGCTCCTCTCTCAGCCTCAGTCCTCTAGAGCATGGCAGACAATCGGGAAGCGAACAAGTGGTGTCCAAAGCTGAGGAAGGTGTCATAAGGCCCACTCACTCTTCTTGTAGAATCTGCCCTGGAACCGACTCAGAAGCTATTTCTTCTTACTCTACATGATTTATTATCAGCTTCATTTTCCTGCTTCCCAACCCCCTACAGATTAGAAACAGCAACTAAAAGACAGGGACACTTCAAGGTAAGTACAAGAAGTAGCTACTGACATACTGGGATTGAGAGAAGACATTAACTATCCCCCCGTCGAACAAAAGTAAAGTATAATTTTTTATCCTTAAAAAAAGTTTAAATTTTTTAAAAGACATACGCACTCAAAACCTAATAGGCTGGGGTCATTTAGTATTGAGGCAAGGATCTACGTGCTGCTAAATAAATCCTGAGGGTATTGTTCTTATAATACAGAAGAATAACTGACAGACCAAGAAGATTTTAAATGATCAAGAATAACCTCATGATGTTTATTATACTATTTGGTAGGGTAAAATTTTAATAAAATTTTCTCAATCCCCAATGGTTAACCCCTTTTTAATTTTTTTAAAGTTTGCCACTAAATGGGGTAAGAGATCCAGTTATTAGAAAATTATATTAATGCGAGTTCTGGGAGCATTATTGTAGGCTCATTCTTTCCTGGACATTTGGCCAGTTGAATCTTACAACATCCATGAGAGACGGTCAAGGTCCCTCCTTTGAACTGAGGGGAGAGAGGCTCAGAGGAAGCATGTGCCTTGCCCAAGGCCACCTGTCTTGAAGTGATAGAGTTACCGGGAGAACTGAGGCCTTCTGAATGGACTCATCAAAGTCCAGCCACCCTGCCTGCCCCAGGCCCTCTTCACTCCTGGTCTGACCTCGCAGGGAAATCCCTCTGCTGCTCCAGGTCAAATCCTCAACTTTACACAATGTCACCAGGTACAAAGTAGGACACTGGGGACTCAGAGGACACAAGAGCAAAAGAATACATAAGATTCTAGAGTGTGGGAGGGTGGAATCGGGAAGAAGAGAAGAAAGTTGATTAGTAACTATAATACAAGGCAGAACCTAGCAAATACTTTGAGAGAGACAGAAAAAGCTGGTAGGGGCCTCTGATAAATGAGCATGTCCTAGTAGGCCAGCAGGGAGGAAAAGAGGGACAGTTTTGTGACATTGGACTTCTCCAAGATGTTCACAGGCAGAGCTTAAAGGTTTCCAAATGGACTTAGGATGTATTAAATCAGCCACATTTTAGAAGGAAAAAAATCTATAAAAAACTAAACATGGGGGCTTCCCTGGTGGCGCAGTGGTTGAGAGTCTGCCTGCCGATGCAGGGGACACGGGTTCGTGCCCCGGTCTGGGAAGATCCCACATGCCGCGGAGCGGCTGGGCCCGTGAGCCATGGCCGCTGAGCCTGCACGTCCAGAGCCTGTGCTCCGCAACGGGAGAGGCCACAACAGTGAGAGGCCCGCGTACCGCAAAAAACAAACAAACAAACAACAAAAAAAAAACTAAACATGATTATTAACTCAGGGGTTCTTCACAATCCAGCAATGCCTATCTGGGTGACACCCTTCTTCCCCCACAAAAAGAATCTAAAAATCCAAAACAAAAAACCTGGCAAGCTGATCAAAAAACAATTGGAGCAGCTTGAAGTCTTAAACTGACCTTTATTTTCCTTCTTGTGAGGGCACAGACACCGGACCCTCTGCTTTAAATAGCAGTAAATTCCACATCTTTCAAGAGAGTTGTCTAATAGAGGCAGGTGACTACTATTTTCCATCAATGCTCATGAATACAGATGGGGCAGAAAAGCCCCTGAGGGCACAACCCAGAACCGAAATGTGAATAAACGCCCTTATTGTGAAGAAATGCACGTCAGTGGGCTCGCTCAGTTCAGTCCCTGTAATTTTTAAGTACCATTTTTTCTCTTCCAAGGGAGCTTTACTATTGTATTCTGTTAAAATTTAGAAATCTTCAGAAATATACAATGCGATTAAATCTCACATGGTAACCAGCGAGAGCCATGTGTACCTCGGTTGGTACCCCCTCATTTGAATAATAATTGCCACCATTCATTTTACAAGCATTCCTATACCTTGTATGCCTCAAAGGGCAGTTTGCAGCAATGGGAAAATTACATGACTGACTAAAAACACACATGACATTTAAACTAAATTAACAGGAAGACTAGTTAAATCTGATATTTTTTGTCATGTGTCACCACCGCTTAATAGAAATTTACCTCATCACTTTTCCTCCCCAAATTTCATAGGAATGCTTTTTGAGAAACACAATTTGCCTTTCTGAAAAA